CCTCCAAGCTATAGTATCACTGGTTCTCACTGTGTGCTCTACAGGGAGTGCAAATGAGTTCAGGCTGCAGTTAGAGACTTTACCCCTCCAAGAAGCAATGCAACCAGTAAGTATTTGCAGGTCCCGGGCGTGCACAGATTTTCTTGTGTGCTGCCGCCTCCTTCCTTCAGGGCGTGCTGGGAACTGCAGATGCTGGAAACTCTCCAGTTCCCTCCCCCTCCCCCCAGCAGTATCTTCTATTTGCAAGCTGGGGTCTGCTGGGTCCATCATCCCCTAGTGGCAGCCAGCATCTCTGTAGCCCATTTCTGGGGGGGGGGGGGGGAGGGGGAAGGAAATTTTGTGCATCCAACACTAATTTCTGCAAAATTCTGTATTGTGCAGTGGCACAGAATTACATAAGAACATAAGAACGGCCGTACCGGGTCAGACCAAAGGTCCATCTAGCCCAGTATCCTGTCTACCGACAGTGGCCAATGCCAGGTGCCCCAGAGGGAATGAACAGAACAGGTAATGATCAAGTGATCTCTCTCCTGCCATCCATCTCCACCCTCTGACAGACAGAGGCTAGGGACACCATTCCTTACCCGTCCTGGCTAATAGCCATTAATGGCCTTAACCACCATGAATTTATCCAGTTCTCTTTTAAACTCTGTTATAGTCCTAATTCCCCCTGAGTATATTAGTCAGCTGACATACAGTATTTAAGAGCCCAGGTTAGAATGGTAAAGCAAAGCTTAATTCATTAGCAACTTCCCTTACTTTCCATGGTTTGATGAAGCCGGTCTTAGTCTCTGTTCCTCTCTGACCCTGTGTGGGTCTGTCTGCAGCAGCAAACTTAAAACCCAGTCCCTTCACACCGGGTCCCAGCTGCTGGGGATTTTCCTCTTTGCTTCCCTACAGAGAGTTGGAGGAAATAACTTACTCTTGGCTGGCAGTCATTAGGAATTAATGTCCAGTTGTTAGGTCTTCTGTTGTTTCTTCTGGGCACTCCATTCATATGTGGACAGTAGAGTTGGTTGGAAATTTCCAGCTAAACTTAACTACATCAGAAAAATGCAGATGGGGTAGAACAAAATATTTCACCTAATTTATTACAGATTCCTCTAATTAATTACCCTCACTGGTCAAAATTAATTCCTTATTTCCTGTCTGAATTTGTCTAGCTTCAGCTTCCTGCCATTGGACCTTATGTACCTTTGTCTCCTAGACTGAAGAGCCGATTATCAAATATTTGTTCCCCATGTAGATACTTATAGGCTGTGATCAAGTTACCCCATAATCTTCTCTTTGTTAAATTAAATAGATTGAGCTCCTCAAGCGTATCACTATAAATTATATTTTGTAATCCTTTAATAATTCTTGTGGTTCTTCTCTGAACCCTCCCCAGTTAATCAGCATCCTATTTGAAATGTGAACACTAGAACTGGGATATTCCAGCAGTGGTCACACTAGTGCCAAATACAGAAGTAAAATAACTGAGTCTGTCAATTAATCTCAGTTAATTCAAGCAGTTAACTCAAAACAAATTAACTCAAAATTAATAGTGATTAATTGCTGTTTTAATCGCACTCTCAAACAATAATAGAATACCAATTGAAATTTAATATAAATATTTTTGGATCTTTTTCTACATTATCAAATATATTGATTTCAATTACAACACAGAATACAAAGTGTACAGTGGTCACTTTATATTCTTTTTTATTACAAATATTTGCAATGCAAAAAAACCCAAAAGAAATAATATTTTTCAGTTCACCTCATACAAGTACTGTAGCGCAATCTCTTTATCATGAAAGTTTAACTTACCAATGTAGATTTTTTTGTTACATAACTGCACTCAAAACCAAAACAATGTAAAACTTTAAAACCTACAAGTCCACTCAGTCCTACTTCTTTTTCAGCCAATCGCTCAGACAAACAAGTTTGTTTACATTTATGGGAGATAATACTGCCCGCTTCTTATTTACAGTGTCACCTGAAAGTGAGAACAGGGCGTTCACAGGGCACTTTTATAGCCGGTGTTGCAAGGTATTTATGTGCCAGACATGCTAAATATTGCCATGCCCCTTCATGCTTTGGCCACCATTTCAGAGGACATGCTTCCATGCTGAAGACACTCATTAAAAATAATGTGTTAATTAAATTTGTGACTGAACTACTTGGGGGAGAATTTTATGTCTTCTGCTCTGTGTTTTTGTCTGCATTCTGCCATATATTTCATGTTATGGCAGTCTCGGATAACGACCCAGCACATGTTGTTCGATTTAAGAAAACTTTCATTGCAGATTTGAAAAAATGCAAAGAAGATACAAATGTGAGATTTCTAAAGCTAGCTATAGAACTCGGCCCAAGGCTTAAGAATCTGTAGTGCCTTCCAAAATCTGAGAGGCATGAGGTGTGGAACATGCTGTCAGAAGTCTTAAAAGAGCAACACTCAGATGCAGAAACTACAGAACCTGAACCACCAAAAAAGAAAATCAACCTTCTGTTGGTGGCACAGGTGATGAAAATGAATGTGCATCAGTCCGCACTTCTTTGGATCGTTATCAGGCAGAACCTGTCATCAACATGGAAGCATGTCCTCTGGAATGCTGGTCGAAGCATGAAGGGGCATACAAATGTTTAGCATATCTGGCAGGTAAATATCTTGCAATGCTGGCTACAACAGTGCCATATGAATACCCGTTCTCACTTTCAGGTGGCATTGCAAATAAGAAGCGGGCAGCATTATCTCCCATAAATGTAAACAAACTTATTTGTCTTAGCGATTGGTTGCACAAGAAGTAGGACTGAGTGGACTTATAGGCGCTAAAGTTTTATATTGTTTTGTTTTTGAGTGCAGTTATGTAACAAAAAAAAATCTACATTTGTAAGTTAAACTTTCACAATAAGGAGATTGCAGTACAGTACTTGTATGAGGTGAACTGAAAAATATTATTTCTTTTGTGTATCTTTTTTACAGCGCAAATATTTATATTAAAAATTAGAATCATAGATTTGGGTTGGAGGAGACCTCAGGAGATCATCTAGTCCAATCCCCTTCTCAAAGAAGGACTAACCCCAATTAAACCATCCCAGCCAGGGCTTTGTCAAGCCGGGCCTTAAAAACCTCTAAGGGTGGAGATTCCACCACTTCCCTAGGTAACCCATTCCAGTGCTTCACCACGCTTCTAGTAAAATAGTATTTCCTAATATCCAACCTAGACCTCCCCCACTGCAACTTGAGACCATTGCTCCTTGTTCTGTCATCTGCCTCCACTGAGAACAGCCGAGCTCCATCCCCTTTGAAACCCCACTTCAGGTAGTTGAAGGCTGCTATCAAATCCCCCCTCACTCTTCTCTTCTGCAGACTAAATAACCCCAGATCCCTCAGCCTCTCCTCATAAATCATGTGCCCCAGCCCCCTATCATTTTCGTTGCCCTCCGCTGGACTCTCCAATTTGTCCACATCCCTTCTGTAATGGGGGGGCCCAAAACTGGATGCAGTACTCCAGGTGTGGCCTCAACAGTTTCGAATAGAGGGGAATAATCACTTCCCTCAGTCTTCTGGCAATGCTCTTACTAATGCAACCCAATATGCCGTTGGCCTTCTTGGCAACAAGGGCACACTGTTGACTCATATCCAGCTTCTCATCCACTGTAATCGCCAGGTCTTTTTCTGCAGAACTGTCACTTAGCCAGTCGGTCCCCAGCCTGTAGCAGAGCCTGGGATTCTTCCGTTCTAAATGCAGGACTCTGCGCTTGTCCTTGTTGAATCTCATCTGATTTCTTTTGGCCCAGTCCTCCAATTTGTCTAGGTCTCTCTGGACCCTATCCCTACCCTCCAGTGTATCTACCTCTCCCCCCAGCTTAGTGTTGTCTGTGAATTTGCTGAGGGTGCAATCCATCCCATCGTCCAGATCATTAATGAAGATGTTGAACAAAATTGGCCCAAGGACCGACCCCTGGAGTACTCTGCTTGATACCAGTTGCCAACTAGACATCGAGCCGTTGATTACTACCCGTTGAGCCCGACAGTCTAACCAGCTTTCTATCCACCTTATAGTCCATTCATCCAATCCATATTTCTTTAACTTGCAGGTAAGAATACTATGGGAGACCATATCAAAAGCTTTGCTAAAGTCAAGGTATATCACGTCCACCGCTTTCCCCATATCCACAGAGCCAGTTATCTCATCATAGAAGGCAATCAGGTTGGTCGGGCATGACTTGCCCTTGGTGAATCCATGTTGACTGTTCCTGGTCACCTTCCTCTCCTGATTTTTCCAGGGACTGAAGTGAGGCTGACTGGTCTGTAGTTCCCCGGATTCTCCTTCTTCCCTTTTTTAAAGATGAGCACTATATTTGCCTTTTTCGAATCGTCCGGGACCTCCCCGATCGCCACGAGTTTTCAACGATAATGGCCAATGGCTCTGCCAATTCATCACTTTTGTCAAACCATCTTATCGTGTGCGAGGTTGGGGTGTTCTTGTGCTGGCCTGCTGGAATGTGTTTACATATTCAGTGTGTTGTGTTTTAGCAATGCTAGCAATACTGATGCCGAGTTCATGTACTGCACACTGACTTGCAGGCAAGCATCTGCTTTTGACAGGGCCTGATTGTTGCTCATAACATAAGTTTTGCTGACTTTGGTTCAGGCCTCAGGCCTTTCCCCAGGCCCATGCTTCAGGCTCTCTCTTTCTACTACACTCCACACATCCCAAATTAACCTGTCTTGCCTTCAACATATTAGGCTTTGAGATTTTTAGTACATTGGAAAAATATATTGTATAGGAATTTGGGGAGAGAACCTGGAGGATATATAATAAATGAAGTGCATTCATGTTCAGTTTTATATTGTAACTTGGAAAGAAGTAATATAAAATTGATGTTCATGGTAAACAAGTAGAAATAGATTGCATAACTAAAAAAAAAACTTTTGTGGTGGAAAGCATAATACATTTTTCAGTAAACTTATATTTACTCTAAGGTTTTACTTTATTTTGTTCTTCTTATAGATATTTTCTCCCAAATGTCAGATTCCAATGGATTGATGATATTTACAAAGTTTGATCAGTTTTTGAGAGAAGTTTTAAAACTTCCAACAGCTGTATTTGAAGGGCCTTCTTTTGGATACACAGAACATTCCGTACGGACATGTTTCCCACAACAAGTAAGAGTTAACAAAATGTGATTGTATATTGCATGTTGAAATAGTGCCGCCTTCTAAAATCCAGTCACGACTTCTGTTATGGTTTGTATGTACACTCTTCCTCAGTTTGTGTGTCATGTACACCAAAAATTTTAAGCGGGTCTGAGTTAAATGATAGCAGAGTGCTAGCTCCACTGTAGTTACGGTTGAAATCAGATTTCTGTTTAAAGCTTAGCAGTAAATGCTCTAAAATCATCATGGTTACTTGGATTGCTTTGTAATTTGATGCCTGTCTTGGGGGAGTGGGGTGTGGTTACTGATCCAAAATTGGGGCCATTTGAACAATGGGTTCACCTTCGAGTATTGGCCCTATAGGTGCTCCACTTCAGGTGCTCATGTGCCTTTGATCGGAGACTTTCAGTAGCCCTGCCCATTCAGTTTGTGCATGCACCCTATCTATCCTTGTGCCCCTCATAGCAAGGGTATATAGGGCCGTGTTGGGTGAACAGCCCTCAGTTCCTTTCTCAATAGAGGGGCTGGACTACAGTACAGCGTTTCAAACAGCAGGGGCACAGGGTATCTAGTGCAGCAGGCATCAGTCACGTGCGAACCTTGATGGGAGAGGGGCCGGAGTGCAAGTTTGTGCAGATTTTTATCTCTGAAGAGTCAGAGTGCAGGTGCCAGAGCAATGGTCCAGACTGCTCCAGCAGCACTATACCCCTGGCCAAAAGACAGGCAACTGGTATCTCCATAGCACCAGCAAACCAAGCATGTGCTTGGGGCGGCATTCTGGACACTTTTTTTTTTTACTTCGGCAGTTGCACTCCCGGAGGTTTTTTTTTTTTTCTTTTTTCTTGGGGCGGCAAAAAACCTAGAGCCGGCCCTGCTCCATAGAGAGGCATACCCCCATAGTTTGAGAACCTCTGTGTCAGACCTATTGTTTTAGGCTGTATTTATCTCCATGGGGTGTTCTCATTCAGTTGAGACAATCACACTGAGATGAATGGGCCGCTTCACACCTCTCAGAGCCTGCTATGCTTTCAGGATTGTTGGGGATCTGGATATGGCAAAGCAGTTGCTGATGATTAATTTCATGCTGTATTACAGAGGAAGACCAACTCTTCTACAATTAAGATTGAGAAAATATTTCTGTTTAAAGGATGATTTTTCTAAATTCAACTATCTGTATGGGTACTCAGTTTGTCTTGAAATTTGCTGTGCTTAATGGGAGTGGGAGTTAGGATTAGTGAGCCAAATTTGGGGTTATTTGAGCAAGAAGTTTCTGAGATACAGACCCATGGGTTGGGGGGGGGGGGAGAAAAAAAGCTTATGAAAATTTAGCATCTATCAGTGTTTTTATTTTTTTGTTTCACACCATGCTTCTAAAATGATAATGGCTTAATGGGATGGGAAGGGGAGGGTGAGGTGGTGGTGGTGGGCGGGGGCTATATGTTGTAGGGAATAGTTGGGAGACGGGGTGAGGCAAGAGAACACCAGTCTTCTTTTGAATGCTTTAAGTTACTGTAACCACCCTTGTAATAAAAGTGTCAAGTTTTGGGGACACAGACTATGTCTGAGATTTCTCTCATCAACTCTGTTAGCAACTAAACACTGCATACATTTCAAGGCACAACCATTATCCTCTTCCCACTGCAAAAAAGAGTACAGGGGGCAGGAGAGCACTTTGAAATCACATAGCAATGGAGTGGCTTAGTGGAGCAAACAGTAGACTCAGACTCAGAAAACCTGGGCTCTATTCTCAGCTCTGCCACTGGAGTGCTGGGTCACTTTGGCCAAGTCACTTCATCTCTCTGTGCTTCAGTTTTCCTATCTGTAAGGGAGAATAATGATATTTCCCTTCTTGAGATCTACTGATGAAAAGTGCTATGTAAAAACTAGTTATCAAATACCCATTCACAGGAGCATCTGAACTACACACATACACCTCTACTCCGATATAACGCTGTCATCGGGAGCCAAAAAATCTTACTGCGTTATAGGTGAAACCATGTTATATATTGCTTTGATCCGCCGGAGTGCGCAGCCCCGCCCCCCTGGAGCGCTGCTTTACCACGTTATATCCAAATTCGTGTTATATCGGGTTGCATTATATCGGGGTAGAGGTGTACATGCTAATTACAACTGCCTCAATGACCCCTAATGTCTACCACCAACTTTTTTTTTCTGCTAGAAACATTAGGAAATTAAATGGCAACAACTTTGTTAATGCAGATTTAAGGTGGCCTGGATATAGCTTGTGCCTTTCCAGAATCTCAATTTCAGCAAAACTGAAACCTGTGAAAACCAGGAAAAACAAAATTAAGGTACACACCCACGCAACCTAACTATGCCCTTTTTGAGTGGTGCCCATAACCGTGCATACTCTCTCTGCTTTTGCCCTGTATTGAACAAGAGCTCCTTAAACTCTCACTCTTAGCTTACTCCACAGTAAGAATAGTGCATCTACTACATTTTACAACTCCTTCAACCTTATTACGAACCCTTCACCTTTCTGCACACAGTACCATCAAACACTCTACTTTCACTTAGCCTTCCTTAAACTCATAACCCACACTCATCTCCCACCTAACTGCTGACAATCCCCCGGGCAGGAAAACCCCTGTGCCTTGTCAATGACACAGCCTATACAACACAGTGATGAAATGAGGCATACTGGATCTCCCAAGGCACACATGCAGTTCTTTCATTTGATCACACACACACAGAGGGTCAGGGAGAGCTCATCCCTTGACTCCTAGGCTACAGACCTCCCCGCAGATGATAATCACAGTTCTGCTTATTCCTCCACCATTCAATAAAGCTACACCTAACACAGTGAAGGCAGCTGGAGTGTATGCAGATAAATCCCAGTGGCTATTGCCAGCTCCAGGGAGGCAGAGGTAAGGTTACATTGCTGTGTACCTTAACTCTGTATTTCCTGGTTTTCACAAATTTGAGTTTTGCTGAAATTGACATTCTGGAAGAACAAGAGCTACCACTGGGCAACCTTAATTCTGCATTAACTAAGTTTTTTGCCATTTAATAAAAGAAAATGGGCACAGTCTTTACTCAGGCAAAAAGGGGATTTGGCACAATTCTAGGACCAGATTAAATTCACTACTTCAGAAAGAAGGCTTATGCATAGTTTGATCAGTGTGTGACACTTTTAGGGGGTTTGTGAGTCACTACTTACTCCCCTGCCACCAGCGTGAGGGAGTTTCTTATGGTAGCTGGATGTCAAGTCCCTGCTCCTGTCAGCCCTTCAGCCACTCAAGCACACTCCCCAAGGCTCTATCAGCCCCTACTTTGCCTTGCAGGTTAAAAATAGGCGCACCCCAACTCCAAGCCACTCCAAAGCATTCCCTGTAGCATCCAGTCCCTGTCGCTGGACATTCACAGTAATTACCAGGTTCACTACTCCCAAGGGAATAGGGTACACACCCACACACATGCGCGCGCACACACCCACCCCTTGTTTGATTCAACTAAGTATCAGCTCCAATATAACAACACAGAACTGTAATCTATAGTAAAATCAAATGTAAGTTTATTAACTAAGGGAAACACTAAAAGATAGTGAGCACAGGTAATAAGAATAACAGGTAACATATAACAAAAGTATAACACACTTAACTTTAACATGCGTAGGAAAGATAGGAAGTATGGCAAGAGACCACCCTGGCTTAACCAGGAGATCTTCAATGATCTAAAAATCAAAAAAGAGTTCTACAAAAAGTGGAAACTAGATCAGATTATAAAGGATGAATATAAACAAATAACACAAATATGTAGGGACAAAATTAGAAAGGCCAAGGCACAAAACTAGATCAAACTAGCTAGAGACATAAAGGGTAACAAGAAAACAGTCTACAAATACATTAGAAGCAAGAGGAAGACCAAGGATGGGGTAGGACCATTACTCAATGAAGGGGGAAAAACAATAACAGAAAATGTGGAAATGGCAGAGGTGCTTTATGACTTCTTTGTTTCGGTTTTCACCAAGAAGGTTGGCAGTGATTGGATGTCTAACATAGTGAATACCAGTGAAAATAAGATACTATCAGAAGAGGCTAAAATAGGGAAATAACAAGTTAAATATTACTTTGATAAAGTAGATGTCTTCAAGTCACCAGGGCCTGATGAAATGCATCTTAGAATACTCAAGGAGCTCACTGAGGAGATATCTGAGCCATTAGCTATCATCTTTGAAAAGTCATGGAAGACGGGAGCGATTCCAGAAGACTGGAAAAGGACAAATGTAGTGCCCATCTATAAAAAGGGAAATAAGGACAAACCAGGGGATTACAGACCAGTCAGCTTAACTTCTGTACCCAAAGATAATGGAGTAAATAATTAAGCAACCAATTTGCAAATACCTAGAAGATAATGTGATAAGTAGCAGTCAGCATGGATTTGTCAAGAACAAATCGTGTCAAACCAACGTGATAGCTTTCTTTGACAGGGTAACAAACCTTGTGGATGGGGGGGAAGTGGTATATGTGGTATATCTTGACTTTAGTAAAGGTTTTGATACTGTCTCACATGACCTTCTCATAAATAAACTAGGGAAATGCAACCTAGATGGAGCTACTACAGGGTGGGTGCAAAACTGGTTGGAAAACCATTCCCAGAGAGTAGTTATCAGTGGTTCACAGTCATGCTGGAAGGACATAATGAGTGGGGTCCCGCAGGGATCAGTTTTGGGTCCGGTTCTATTCAATATCTTCATCAGTGATTTAGATAAAGGCATAGAGAATACACTTATGAAGTTTGTGGATGATACCAAGCTGGGAGGGGTTGCAAGTGCTTTGGAGGATAGGATTAAAATTCAAAATGATCTGGAGAAATGGTCTGAAGTAAATAGGATGAAATTCAAATCAGTTGCACACATACCAAATGGGAAATGACTGCCTAGGAAGGAGTACTGCAGAACGGGATCTGGGGGTCATAGTGGACCACATGCTAAATATGAGTGAACAGTGTAACACTGTTGCAAAAAAAGCGAACATCTTTCTAGGATG